TCCTCTATAGCTGATGGTACATTGTGCTGTATATTATACATGTGAATACAAATCCCAGCAATACATTATACACTGTATGTATAATGTATTGCTGGGATTTGTTGTACTCCTATATAGCTGGTGGTATTCTGCATTGCGTTGTATAGGGGAATACAAATCCCAGCAATAATACATTATACAGCGCAATGCGGAATACCACCAGCTATAGAAGAGTACAAAAAATCCCAACAATAATACATTTATACAGTGGTGCAATGCTGAATACCACCAGCTATAGAGGACTACAAAACCCAGCAATAGTACATTATACAGCGCAATGCAGAATGCCGCCAGCTATTATGTACTATTGCTGGGATTTGTTGTATTCCTCTATAGCTGGTGGTATTCTGCATTCATTGCTGTATAATTTTACACTTTCCATTTCACTATATTGCACACCACACTATCTTTTTTCTTTTTTACTTCCACCGCTCCAAGCTTGCTCCTGTGATGGACTACAACCTCAATACAAACTAGTAGTCCCATCACTGGAGCCTTTTTTTGAACTCTATTTTATGGTTTATCCGATTAACCGAACCTAATAATCGACTAACTAATCGATTTTGAAAATAATCGTTAGCTGCAGCTCTAGTGGGAGGAGCCAGCAGGGAGCTGAAAACAGCATGCTGTGATGCTGAGCTTCATGATAAAAGAACTGAAATCTAATAAATGAAAGGGGTGGGCCAGTCAGACTGGGGAGGAAAGTACTAGAGGATGTCGGAAGTCCTGCAGCCAGGAAATTAGGAAGGCTCTACCTCACTTGCTGCAGCTTCTAATTTACACTGTGAAGCTCAGTGTGCAGTGAAATCAGAGTAAGCAATTTCTGTACAGCAAAGGTGTATGTACAAATGTGCAAGATGGAAGGCAAGGCTGGAGTTTAAGCCTATATTGCCATGTTAGCTGGCTCCTGCATTTTATATATTTACACCATTAAGAACATATTTGTGAATCGCTATCACAACGTTCTCCTGATGCAACCTCTCCCCCTTAAATTTATATCAATTGCAACAAATAGAAAACAGGGGTTTATGGAGCGGTATCTTCGCCGCTGACAACGCGCTAGTACCCACTCCCTGTTAAGTCTTATTCCATTATTCCCTTATTTTTTCTTGCTTAGTCACCACTTGGTAGTGCGCTTCTGTATTTCTTGTCTTCTTAATCAGTAAAACGTCGGACACCCCGGTCCGCATTTTTAGGAGCCGCACACCAAGTACCGCAACCGAAATTTGTTTACCCTCACCTCAGGCTGCACTAGGGGACATTTCTGCCAATTTTTTCGACTGTAAGGTCTTACGACTTTCGTCTTCCAAGCACGCTGGAAAACCTGCCGGAAATTTTTGTTGGGTAGGTGGCGTGGTCAGAAGACGAATGCCGCACGGGCCGGAAGCCCTCCCCTCAGCGTACGAGATTTTAAATGACCTTACAGCCATCGCATAACAAAAGTCGTGCGATGGTTGTAATGTGACAGCAGGATCGATCCCTGGTTTATCTCGGAGTGATTAGAGAGGGCTGCAGTAGACCTCACTATCACCCCCAAATAATCAGGCATCGATCCTGCTCACATACATTCTTTCTTTCGGCCAGAGCTCAGAACTGTCAGAGCTCCAGCCATAGGAAGCCAGAGCTGACATGAGCTGCTCTGCGGTCTGCATCCGACACATATTCAGACAGTGAAGCTTCTCCCGCAAGTCAGGTACGCGGTCTGCGACCGTGTGATTGAGCCCTGTTCTAGAGTATATATAGGAAGGAAAGGAACTCACGATCGAATGTGATAATCTCTTCTCCATCCTCCTCATCAGTTGTTTTATTGGCGATGAGCACAAAGTCTCTCATATTGCACTTAGCGCAGCTCACGTAGTTGAGCAAAAATGATCCCGTCTCCAAACAAGTGTTGCCCTAAAAAATACAAAATGAGAGATATACCGTATGCTGTAAAATTAATATTATTACCAAGAGGAGGTGACTGCATATGCAATTTGATATGATCCTTAAAGAAATCCAGTCATCCTAAAAGAACTCAGGCAGGAACCCTGTAAAAGAATAGGCTGAATACAAATGTGTCTGGCAGCTAGAGGCACCGCTGTCATCGGACACCGAGTGTGGCAGACAACATGTTTCAACCACCAAAGAACACACCCCCCTCCTGGTGTGTACTATTGTTTCTCCTGCCACTAATACTCACTACACACGGTACAATCTCTGTTAGATAAATATGTAGTACAAAAGCCTGACTGACTGTACACAGATTGGATAGATTAGATAGCACCTCATATTAGATTTAGTAAATCTAAAGATGATTGTACAGTGTGTGATTGTATGATGTGTGTGGTGAGCTTTAACCACTTGAAGTCCGCGGTGTTAAACCCCCTTCCCATTCCCACATACATACGATCTGTAGGCTATAGAGCCGCCGATCGTATGTATGTCAAACAGCCGGTAACGGCTGTAAGGAACGGGCGGGTTTCTTCTGCCCGCGCGCTAGCACAAAAACCCGCAAATGTGAGTCCGCCGTCCGTCCGTTTTTTTAAAACGGGCGGACAGCAAGAGGTTAAAGCCCATCTCCAAGAGAAAAAAAAAAAAGACTGGAAGCGGGGCTATCCCTCCACTGCAAGGAGGGTTCACTGTTTGTAAATGTCTAGGGAACCTGTGTAAAGGACTTTTAGTTACCTGATCAGCACTGCCGCTGCCTGCAAGACCAGCGCCTGCAGCCTCTATTCCCCCATACTCTCGTTGTGTTAAAGGCTGCTGACATCATCACATCTAATGAAGGGTCCAAAGACCTACAACATTCACCCAGTCCACAAGTCGAGGCATAGGGGAGAGGGGTGAGCGCCAATCTCTAGGAGAGCGGAGATCAGGGAAGTAAAAGCCCTTTACACAGCTCCCCTAGATAATAACAAGCTGTTAACCCTTGCAGTACAAGAGTAGCCCCACAGTAAAAAGACACAGTAGTCACATAGGGGCTCAGTACGGATAACCATCTTGTTGCCTCCTAGACAGATAAGTGTTGAACTTTTTTTTCAGGATGCACAGTTGAGGTTTTTTTTTTTAGGGTATTGACACAGTCACTTTTAAAGTTGTTTTAGCAAGTTTTTACAGGGTTATTCACTAAGCGGTGAAGAATTTGGAGAAGGCAGAAGAATTGAACAATCCAGGACAAAGTAGCTAATTTGGAAAAATTCTCTAATTCAGTTCACTTTGCAGTTCAGCTATGTTGTTCTACATTTTTCACTTCTCCTAACTCTTCACCCTTCAGTGAAAAACCTATTACCGTATATACTCGAGTATAAGCCGAGTTTTTCAGCCCATTTTTTGTGCTGAAAAATGCCCCCCTCGGCTTATACTCGAGTCAGCGTCTCGAGCACTGAACTTCTTGCTAGCAATAGATATATGCAAAAAGTGAGGGTTTAATAACCCTTTAAGCACTGCAAGGAGAGCTTTTGGTTTTCAACAGAGATAGGCTTTGCGTTTAAGGCCTGGTTTGCATCTGACCATTCCCGGGCTTCGATTACCGCATAGCCCCATTGATTAAAATGGAGTCATTACCGCGTGGCAAACAGACTGCCGCACCTTTTTGTGCGACCCACGTTTTTCTCTCAAGCAAAACAAATGACAAACGCACTCAACAATTTGTCACCAGCTATACAGTAAGGTGCACACGAAATGGGCTTTGAACAGTAAAACAGTAGAAAGGAATCATGGCACACTCGCAAGCCAGCATGTAAAACAACTTGTCTCACCACTAAGGTTAATAACAGAGGTTTGGATACACGTCTTCTGCAGAAAATGTGAAAGCCGCACAGCCGCGCCAAGGCACCTCTTATAGTGCGGTCCTAACTCACTATATAGCTGTAGACAAATTGTTGAGTGGGTTTGTTATTTGTTTGCTTGACCGATTTGGTGCAGTGATGCATGGGGGTTCTCAGCTGCCATTGGGATGTGCGGGATCCCTTGTGTGTTCCTGTGCCTTTAAGGAGGTTGGGCTTCCTCCTGACAAACCTGCACCCAATTTGAAATCTTCTGCCCCCATGTGCTCCAAGATGGAGACTCTCATAGTTTAGAGTTAGGACCGAACTATAAGAGGTGCCTTGTCACATTTTCTGCAGAAGACGTGTATCCAAACCTCTGTTATTAACCTTAGTGGTGAGACAAGTTGTTTTACATGCTGGCTTGTGAGTGTGCCATAGCTGCTAGAACGCACTGGATTGCATATTATTTAGCTCCTTGCATTATGGGGCGGGAGGGGGTGTGGTGGTGCATTCAAGTCATTGGCACCACAGCGCGATTGCCTGCACCAGAACGCTTGGCACAGGAATGCCGGCATTCCAGTCCAATGTGTTCACAAAAAACAGTGCTTGTACTAATTTTTGCCATCACACTGGACCAGAGCATGGCATTGATGTGACACGCGTTCTGGCGCAGGTGATTGCAGCTGCGTTGCCATTGACTTGAATGCATCACTATGCCCCCTCCGGCCCCAAAACACATGGAGCCTTCACAGTATGCGATCCAGCAGCTAATCGTCCTGGAGATGGGGTGAACATAGCCTAAACATAACTCTAAGAAAACTTTTTTTGTTTTGAGTTTTGCAAACTGTGAAATGGTTGCCATGTTCCGCAGTTCTTGTTATGGTGAGTGGAACCACCTCGGACAGGAAGTAAATGCAACTCTGCCGAGTAAGGACACGGCAGGAAAAAAAACTAATCAGAGCCCTTCCCGACCCATATACTAAAAGGAAACCACCTGTGGGGCCCCTCTCCTGATATTGAATGTGCCACAACTGGGCGGATGAGGCCTGGAGCCCACTCCCAACAAGAATCTTGATATGTCACACAGCTCACCCGGTCCGGGTACTCCTCCTGCACACACCCACCACACATCACGAACCCCAACCTGCCGCCTTGTAATAAATACAAAAGATGTCCCAGGGGAGAGGCCAAGGAACAGACGGGAAGTCCCACGCAGCCTGGCTCAAGGACCTCAAGTGACGTCACTGACATGTGACCAGCCTCCCCGGGGAGGAGTCAGCGCTCTCGGTCTGTAGCTGTCAGTGAAAGTCGTATGATCAGTGTTCAGTGCTGTGTGTTGTGTACATTTCTTCTGCTGTTGCTGGTCTTTTGTAAGTTGTGGCTGATGTTGAACTCCAAGTCCTTGAAGGATGACGTGCAACGGCATGTGGGAAATGAATGGCTGTGTTAGCATTATAATTGTTTTTATCAAACATGTCGCATTCTAATGCTGTCAGTGCAGGTTTCAGGCCATCAATAAAACGATCTTTCTGACGTAAAGAACGAATCTTGCAATTCTCAGTCTCTTCTACTTCCAATGAATTTGCTCTAAAGCTGAACTCCAGGCAAACAGCTAATTACAGAGATACAATACAATACATATATGATGGTTTAATCTGCTGCAGGATTTTTATTTTTCACCTTCCTATTAGAAGTACACAGCACAGCCCTATCTGGCAGGGCAGGAGGCCTGTTTTTTTCTCTGCCGAAGTCAAGTAACACTTGCAGACAGGGCCACCATTAGGCTCCATTCATAAAGGAGTGGTTGTCTAAACATAAAAAACAATGCACTTCAATGACAAACCGCACATTCCGCAAAATACTACAAGCGCAATTTTCTGGTGGATTCCACACATTCGCGGCTATAGTAATAGCCGCAAACGAACAGAATCTGGGCAGTTGTAAAATCATTAGTGTTTGTGTACCGTGCAGTCTTCCGCGCAGAAAACCGTATGGGAAATGCATACACTATATGTGAATGGAGCCTAGAAATCTTGGGGCCCCCTACACTCTACCTGACAGGGACCCCCTCCTAAGTAACGCACAGTGAGATGCTGCATCATGCTCTAATGTGCAGAAGGAATAGAGCAGAGGTTCTGTCCCTTAGTGAGACCAAGGCCCAATAGTTTTCTTCCAAAACCTTAGAAGTAAAGTGTTTTTTAAAAGAATAGAGCTCTGGAGGTGATTGCCATAATGTGCTAGTATGCACAGAATATTAGCACATTATGGCTGACTTACCTGCAGACAATGCCCTTCTACATTACTGTCTGCTCTCCCCTCCGTCACTCAAACTGCCATCTTCTCTTGGTCTTCTTCCAGGTTCTTTAATTGGCTGGCAAGATGTAACTCCTGTGCATGGGAGTTACTTCATTCCAGCATAGAACAGGTAGAAGAGACTTAAGGTGCCCATACACTGGGCAAATTTCGGACGGTTTTTAATCTACTTGCCGAAATTCGCACAGTGTGTGGGGCTGTCGGCTCTCTTTTACCCAGAGATATAGTAGATAAAATGAGCTCCATAGGGTCAATGGGCTCTGTATAATCCATTTCATTTGGTTAGTATCTTTACCTTAAAAACTGTTACTAACCTTCTGAACCATCTAATATTTATAAACATAGTGGGGGGAATTTATCAAAACGGGAACAGACAGAATCTGGAGCAGTTGTTCACGGCAACCAATCAGCATCTCTCTTCAGTTTGCTCAGGTGAGATTTGAAAATGAGACAGAGAAGCTTGGTATTGTTGCAGTGCAAATCTGCTCCAGAGTTTGTCTGCTCCAGTCTTGATACATTCCCCTCACTGTATATACATCGAGGGGGTGACCTATTCCAATCAACCTAATATCCTCATATAAAACTCATGATGAAAGTCCTATCTCAAAATCTATTAAGACCTTGGTAGGGGAGGGGTGGTTAACTCTTTGTGGATTTCGACATTAGTCATCTGATAGAAAACAAGGTCAATTTCAATATTTAGACCTTTGGGTGTCGTGATATCCATTAGAAAAATCCATGCTTTAATTAAAAATGTTTTGGGACACTATGGTGCTCTTTGCCCTTTTTAATATTCCTGATATGCTCGCAGATTCTAATTCCTAATTCACAAGTAATTCTCCCTATGTATTGGTATCCATACGGACATTCCAACATGTATGTCACATGTGTGGTATGGCAAGAGATACATTCTTTTATTTCAAATGTTCTGTTGTTTGTGTCAAGGTGCCCATACACCTTACAATTATCTGCAGATTTTCTGTGGTCAGATGGAATTGCGATGGCTGTAAGGTACTTAAAAAAACGTACGATCTGCCTATCTTGGACAGGGTGATCGTACTTGCGATGATCGCAAGCCGCGCCCCCCTGAGGGGCGGGCTTCCGATGACCGCAATGTCGAACGGGCAGTGTGCGGCTTTTATCTTACGAACATGCTGCACACCCACCGAACATCGTACGATGCTCGGCGGGTTTTCAAACATGTTCGTAACTTAAAAGTCGTGCGACCTTACAGTAGTAGAGGTCGCACGGCTTCCACACACCTTACGATAATCGTACGATCGTGGGATTTCCCGCGGTTATCGTACGATTATCGTAAGGTGTGTGGGCACCCTTAGAGGGATATCGCTTGTATTTAATTGGCAATCTCCCATTGACTGACTATATTATGAACAAGTATTTTCTCTTCTAGAAAATGTATATACTATAAACACTGATCATATTAATATCAGCCAATAGAGCATGTTCCAGGGTTTGTGCCCTCTCTTGTGTGATTTTTTTCATGGCACACCCATAGTGTATCCAAATTCCTCAATAATCTGACATTAAACAGGTACAAGTAACAAAACCTTGGGAAACCAGTGACAAAGACATACAAGATAGCTGGGTACTTCATAAGTAAGAGTTTTGCGCGGAAAAAAATAGATGGTTAGTTTGTAAGTATAGTTCACTTGCAACATGTTGCTTGTGTTGTCAGATGGGCCGGTACTCCTAAAACCATGACGAAGCATCATATGGGTGGGGAATCCCTCTGGTGCTTGTGTACGTAGCTGATAATGTCCCCACTAGTAAATGCACGGCTTCCACACACCTTACGATAATCGTACGATTCGCGGGATTTCCCGCGATTATCGTACCATTATCGCAAGGTGTGTGGAGACCTTAAGGTGTATGGGCAGCTTTAGGCTGGGTTCACACCTGAGCGTATTTTTTTATGCTCATTTTTTTCGTGTTTTTTCGTTCAGTGAAACGCGCGTTTCACTGGCGGTATGATTTTTTTGTTTGTTTGTTTTTTTTCCTTTATTTTCTCTATTTTAGAATTTTTTTTTTTTTAGTTACACTTTTAAACTTCCCGACGGCTCCACCCCCCTGCGACGTGGCCGCTCACAAGGGACGGAACCCGGAAGTCGGCAGCCGCCGAAGACACATCGGGGATCGCGGACAAGGTAAGAGCTGTATGCCCCCTGTATTCCCGAGTGTGGCTCGGGGTTACCGCTTTGTTAACCCCGATCCACACTCAGGAATACCAATGGCATGTTATTTTTTTTGTTAGCCTTATGTGCACATGTTCACTCGAATCAGATGTCAGGGGTGGCAGGGTTAGCTTTAAATTTGTTTTATTTTTACTTATTTTATTTTGTATGTATCACCTTTATTTTTTTATTTTATTTTTTTACTTTTCCTCACCTTTTATATTTGATATGTTTTACTTTTTTCTCGCCTTTTTTTTTTAACAAGCCCCTATGTGACAGCATTTAGAGGTGACAAGTTCTCTTTATGGAGACATCAGGAGTCTAATAGACTCTTGATGTCTCCCCTCTACCTCCAACAAAGATGATGAAGCACATTAATGTGTTTCACCTTCTATTTACCCAGCACTTCAGCCACCTTCTGACAGCTGAAGCATGAAGTGCTAAGAGCAGTGCTTCATGCTTCAGTGATCACAGAGCAGATTGAGGAACAGACGTTCCCTGGTCTGCTCCCGCTCTCCACCCTGAAACAGTGTGCTGTGGTCCTCGGTCCCCAAGGGGACCTAAAAACCATGGCAGAGGGGCTTCAAGGGGGTTGGAACAATTGCAGCCTAATACAAGTGGTCACTTGTAGTTGAGGTGCTGGCACTGCCTGCCTGATGTCATTGGTTGCTAGAAAGCCAGCAGTTCTAGCAACCAATGACTGAAGCCGAGCGGAGGCATGCGCTGGGTTTTGGCTGGCAGGGGAAACACCGGCCGCAGAGTGTATGACTAGAGGCCGCCACCTAAAGTTGGTGGAGAAAAAATTCCAGCACAATGGGCGAAGAGGGTTCTTTACAGTAAGAGCGGTTAAAGGAGAACTATGGGGTCAGTGTTTTTCCCCATAGTTCTCCTTAGGGTAACGGGAGGACACAAACTAGCGTCCTACCAGCTATTACCCAGTGCAGGTAGGCAATGGCGGTCTGGACAGAACTGGCAAGCGGTCTGCCATTTAGTGACTTCAGCTCTATAGTAAAGGAAATTGATTCAGAGCATTCACTGTCATAACGATATATTATAAACTGAAGCATTATGTAGATGAAGCATTTGAACATAGTTTATAATTGTTAGATTAACCTTATTTACTGGTTACTGTCTGCATAAAATTAGTCTTGTAATTAATAGATATTCCTCCGTGCAGTATCATTATTATGGGTGTACTTCATATCATGAAGGAAATTGAAAGAAATTAGTGTTATATAACATGCAAACATAATAAGCTCAGTAAAGGTTGCACCCTTGTTAAGGGATTAAGTTATATAAGATGATCATATCTAGGGAAAAAACACAAACAAGGGGCGCCTTTCCTGGTGCAGACAAATTTAATAAGATCAGAATGGAAGAAAAATATAAAACATACTCCCAAAATTCATGATAGAAGTATAAAAAGTATATAAGTTAGGTCCATGGACCCAAGGTGAAGTCTATGAGAGCTGCACAGCCGTGTCTATGTGTCAGCAGGAGACTGTGTGCTGTATGATGTAGATGATCATATCTAATTAAACATTTTCCTGCAGAATAAAAATTTCCAGCCTGTATTATTATATAGGGAGGACTCCCATTTTAAAGAAGAACTCTGATTAGCATTATGTACATGTAAATCAACTAAATGTGTATTTTCAGTTCTCATAGCTTCAGT